TGCTTTTAAAATAATTGTTTTGCAAAATATGGTAGTTTCTTAATTTGGAATTACATATTTGCACATAAATATACAGTATGTATTTGGACATACATAGGTACCACACGGACATGCATGTAACAGTTCAGTTGTGCCAGTGTCCCTCCCAGACCCTAAGCTCCGTGAAGGGAGGGACTACGTCTGGTTTGTTCACTGCTGTGTCTGAAGTGCCTGACATGCGGAAGATAGATACTCAAATATCTCCTGAATAAATGATTAGTCAAAGTAATGCAATGTAATGATGGTGGGATAGATTTGTTTTTATCGTATAAGAAGGCCTGCTTTAAAATTTTTTTCTTACTAAAAAACTCAGGTTATAAATTTAGATGTTATTATTTTAAGAAATCAGTCCTGACTGGTGTGGCTCTGTGGGTTGGGCATCATTGGGCAGAGTGAAAGGTCACTGGTTTGATTCTCACTTCTCTGTCAGGGCACGTGCTTAGGTTGCAATCCAGGTCCCCAGCTGGAGGTGTGTGTGAGGCAACCAATGGTTGTTTCTCCCCCTTTCTTTCTCCTTCCCTTCCCCTCTCTCTAAAAAAAAAATATAAAGAAAATGTATTTTTAAAAAAGAAAACACTAATGTTTATCTACAAAGAAATATGATTGAACATGGTCTCTGAATTATCAAATCAGATGTGTGTTCTTGCCAGTTCTTGAGACTGAGACTTTCAAATAAATGGGGACCATTAGGGGCAAATTGTTAAAAGGGGCCACTTGTCTTCAAACCACTTTTAAATTTTGCCTGGGGATGAAGTAGTATTAATTGTTTCTTGGTGTTAGTACCAGGGCATATAGTTTGAGGGTATTTGCACACGTGGTATGCTGCACCTTCCCTCTGCAAAGACGACCAACAGCAATGGCAGAGTTGGGTGACTGAAGCCCGAGGTCGGTGGGGACATTGGAAGTTAAGGTCATGAAGAATGCAAGTCACTCCCATATACATGGAGTGCTGGGAACTCATGGCGTGCTGTATGAGGAAGCCTGAACTTCCCAAAGATCTTACCCCAAGCTTTATGGAACCACCTTGTGCTTCTTCAGCAGAAACGTGGTGGCAGCAAACCTCTTTAACAACGTTAAAGCAACTAAAAGATAGCCTTTCCTTCCAGGAATAAGGAGATGTTTGGTTGTGCAGGCGTCAGTGAGGGTGGAAGGAACTGTTTCATGCATAGCCTTGCAAACAAGACCAGCATTGTCCAAAGCGTGCCGTTTCTGCTGCCATTCCCTTATTCCCCTCTGCCCTCAAAAGATTTTTAAGTGGTCAGGGCCATGATGTTGCCCAGTCTTGTTACCAACGTTCCTTTTTCTTGATCTTTTGTTTCAATGTCTGCTTTCTTTCCCCTATGTGTGCTCACTGAAGCTGGATTGTGGGGTCAAGCTATAATTAGTTTATATATGATGTTTAATTCACTGTGGCTCTTCTGGCATTAGATTCAAATGGGCTTTGATGTCTGGCTGGAGCTTTGATCCCAGACCCTCAAATGGTGGTCATCACCCCAACTCAAAGGGTTGTCCTTTATTTTTTTCCCTCCTTTTTGGAGACAGCTTTTCCCAATTACATCATTTGTGTTTGTTTGGCCATAAAAGCTGCAAGCCATCATTTTGTTGCTTTGCTCTATAGCAAAACGTGCAATTGATGCTCCTTACTTTGCTTGACTGCAATAGAATGTTCACTGCCGGATAAGGCATTTGAAGAATGATACTCAGACTTGGTGGGGATGCTGTTGGGAGCTCTTCTGCTCAAAGGCAGAGTCAGACTGTATGATCCGAGGGACCCTTCCTGTCTCTGCCCAGGAAATATCTTTAAGCATTAGGCTACACAACTGTGATATTTTCAGTCAAGACTCTTTTTCATGCTGACAACTTATCTAATTCTCCAGATCAGTGTTGGGAGGTGGTGTGCAGAGTGGAGGTGGCACAGATCTACCCCAGCTTTAGCGCCACACTTTCTGAGGCTGGATTAGCAGTTTTTCTGGAAAAGGGGAGGAGAGGGAGTAGACAGGGGGCAGGAGAAAGCAAAAGAATAAACTAGGGCTGAGCAATACTAGAAAGGAGATAACAAAGTAGTGTTAGTGGAGGTAGAAGCACTGGCATCTGCTTTTAAAAAAGCAGAAAGAAAAAATACAGAGGAAAGTGAGACCCTGTTGGCAACAGAAGGGAGCAGGGAACAGTGAGTAGGTGATTACCTTCAACTGCTTCCCAAATGCCTAAAACTAAAACAAAGAATCAGAAGAAAGAGCCAGAGAACTAGACTGGAGAAAAGAAATTCTGGCTGTTGAGTTAAGTGGGGAACAGGGGCAACCTAACCAGTCACACTTAATCTGGCGACATTGGGAGTTTTCCTGGAAAAACAATTAGAGCATTGAGCTCGTTGCTTCTACTTCATTTGACAGCCTGAGTTTGTTTTAATTGGAGCGTGAATGAACAGCATTATTTATTAATGTGTAATGGATACTGTGGAAAGCATAACCTTTTTTCCTATTTGTGACCATTTTATTGGCAGAACCATTTGAATACATTAATTTTAATATTTAAACTTGTTGGGAACACTTTTTCATGGAGATGTACAAGCTGTTAGGGCAAATGGTTTGCTTTGGACTAATGAGCCAAGTCAAAGTGGCATTTGGTGAGGAGAGGGGCGGGAAGGTGGGCGGTTTTGGAGAAATAGCGACGTGTCTGTCTGCTTTAACAAGATTTATTAGTAGTGTGTAAAAACAAGTTTCAGCTTTGCTTTCTCGACTATATAAATGTAGTTGTCGGCGTGTAACATAGCACAGGGCACAAAACTGGACTCCACCCAGCCAGAAGGAATCTAATTCAGAACTAGAAAGCAAGAGCTTGCCTAGAAATGAACAGAATGAGACAATGAATGACAGAGGACATGGGTGAGTGGCATTTGATTGACAGGATTGGTCATTATTTCCTAGTGCCTCACTAAAATTTGGGAGGAAAATTTAGTTCATTATCAAGTACAGTGTTTGCCACACGGTAGACAAAAAGCACAGGTGGCCTGAATAAAACGGATTTTGTTTTAAAAGCTGCTGAACACCTGAACATAATTCCATTTTCAGTGCTAACATACACTCTTGTTAATTATGAATCATGGTTGTAGTTATAGTTCTTCTTATGTCTGTGCAGGGCAGCAATAGGGAGGTCAATGGAAGGTGGCAAGGGAACTCTTGTTTTCCATTTTTTGGTAAATGTCAACTTGATTCTATTTATCTGAGGGACTAAATTGGTACTATTAAGTTAGAAAGCATGTTAATTAAAAAAAAATCTTACCACCAACCTACATTTTCTTGAGTCTTCTCTCTAATGATCATCATTTGAAAGCTTGCAAGGCATTGTCCTGAGAACAGTAATACTAAGAGAGTATCAACAGCCCCTGACTCCAGGGAACTTTTATAATGAAACTGGTCATGCTGTGCATCTATAATGCTCATTTTATAATGAGCAAAGAGATACACAAAAACACCTGTGAACATAGGTATATGTGTATGTACCCAGATCAATAACCACGCAAATATCATTTGGCAAGAATCAGGTACTGATGCAATTAACTGAAGTTCAGAGGAGGGATGTCAACTGGTCTTGGAGGGAAGGTTAGACCACACAGCGGGGATAAACGGAGAATTCTTAGCAGGGCAAAGGTGTAAGGATCTGAAATAATGATAAAGGATGCACTCCTTCACACACTTTGCCTGAACTTCAGCCAATTGTGACTTGCTCAATTCAGTTTCTGAGGCTCTTGGGTGTATTGCTTTTAAACGGAGATACTATAGTTTTCCACAGGCAAGTGGCATTTCCAGACCCCTATTCCACTGAAGTTCCTTGTGACCAGTGTCCCAAGCAGAGATGACAATACCACAAATGCTATTTCAGGGGGAAAAGTTTGAAGTACCTCTGGAGGAGGCAGGGGCAGGAAGCTAGAAGTCATATAACCCTTACTATCTACGTGCCTGCCATATTGTAAACGCCCCCCCCCCCGCAATGTATATTATACTACATTTTACTGTAGTTCTTCCAACAGTTAGATTTTGTTAGTAGCTCATATACCATAGGGAAACAGAGGCACAAAGAGGTAAAGTAACTTGCCCGCCCAGCTAGTCTTGGCTGGAGACGGGACTCAGATTCAGGCAGTCTGGTTTCCGAGTCAGCTCTCGTGACTGCAGACTAAATAACGATGTAAAACTCGCACAGAAACCCAAGCGCGCACACGTGCGCGCACGCGGGAACCGCGAGCTTGTGAAAGAATGGATGCAACACTGGCTATACAGCGATAGCTTCCTGCCTAATTTTAAGTGCCTGCCTTTCCGTAAGGAAACCAAAGCAGCAACACAACTGAGTTGAACAGTTTTAGAACGTTGTATTATTGTACTTGGTAGTCCTTGCGTGTACGCACTGGAGTGAAAAAACCAAACCTACAGAAGTTGTCATCGAATGCACTCGCCGAACCTTGTTTGGTAAGGTGAAGGCGACCTAAAGCAGTCTCAGTGGGTGTGGACGGGGACGTGTGGGGAAAGGGTTAAGATGGTGTGCAACTCGACCGAGTTCAGAAAGTTTTTTGGAGAGCGCAACTGCGGCGTCCCCGCGCGGACCCCGCTGAGAGGCCCGCTGTAACAGGATGCTGCGCTTGAGGTGCTCGCGCTCTGCTTTGTGCCATCGGCAAGAGCCAATAGGGAGCGAGGCAAAAACTGGGTGCTGTAAACTCGAAAAGGGGGCGAGGAGACCCGCGGGAGGGGCAGGGGCGGGGGCGGGGAGAGGGAGGGGCGGGGAGGAGGCCGGCGCTGAGCGCGCGCGGCGCCCCTGACAGTCTAGGGGGAAGTCGGGGGGAGCGGGCTTTGGAGCCGAGGGGCCGGCGCGGGGAGGCGGGCGCCGGGCGGGGGTTTGCCGGGCGGCCGCCGCGCGCGTGACGTAGCGCCGGGCAGGGCGTTATCAGCTGCGGGCCCACAGCGAGCGACGCGCGGCGCGGCGCAGCGGACGGCGCCGCTCGGCCCGGACGGCTGCAGCCCGCGGGGCCCGCACGCTCCTGGCCGACGACGCCGACGCCGCCGCCGCCGTCGCCGCTGCTGCCGCCGCGTTCCTCGCTGGGCGGCATGAGCTCGCGGCCGCAGCTCTAAGCTCCCCGCTCCTCCGCCCGGACGGCCCGGCTGAGGTGACGGGTGCTCGCTGCAGGGCCGGGGGCCATGAAGCCGAGTTCGGCCGGGACGGCGAAGGACCTGGAGCCGCAGGCGCCGGCCCGGGGCGAGCAGCGCGCGGTGGAACCCGAGGGGCGCTGGCGGGAGAAGGGCGAGGCGGACACGGAGCGGCAGCGCACCCGAGAGCGGCAGGAGGCCACGCTGGCCGGGCTGGCGGAGCTGGAGTACCTGCGCCAGCGCCAGGAGCTACTGGTCCGGGGCGCCCTGCGCGCCGCTGGGGGCGCGGGTGCCGCCGCGCCCCGCGCCGGGGAGCTGCCGGGAGAGGCGGCGCAGCGCAGCCGCCTGGAGGAGAAGTTCTTGGAGGAGAACATTTTGCTGCTGCGGAAGCAATTGGTAGGTCGTACCTGGAGGTAGACGGGTCGGGGTCGGGCAGGTGACCTGAGGTGGGCGCCAGGGTGCCTCTCGCGGGGAAATTTCGAGGTTTCCAGGACCCCCATCCTCTTCCACACCCGTTCCTGCGTGTGTCCGCTTTGTGTCAGGTGAGGGGCGGGGGGGCGCCCTCCCTTCGGGATTCTTGGAGGGGCCTGGTTTTAACCTTTAATCTCTCTAGTTAGACGAATGAAATGCATGCCCTCTCCCTGAAGGTTTGCAAACCCCCTCATTTAAAATGCCATTTCATTTGGAGGCCTTTTTAGCTTGATGTCCTCCCGCCGAGAGGGGACAAAAGCCGAGGAGGGGGCCTGAGGCATGGTTAGCTGTCCAATGCTGAATTTTACGATTACCCGGAATCGCACGTAGGAGCCCTGCCCCTCCCAGGGCTCTCTCCAGCATGCCAGCTTTTGCTTGGGCTGCTGCTTAATTTCAAATAGAAGCCCTTTGTACAAGGCAGCTAAAACAGACGCAGCTGATGGAAATTTGGCTGGAGGAAGTGCCCCCTCCTCTCATATTTTCTACGTACTGCTTGCTAGTTGTGACTGGTAGTGAAGGCGGGAGAAGAGGGAAGCTGTTCTCAGGGCGCATTTATGTTACTGGATTTCTGCTCGCGCCTCTGTCAGCCTGTGTCATCTTCATCAATGGGGAAGGAAAAGAACTTAGCGCTTCATGTATTGGTGAACAGCTTTTGACCCCGCCTTAGAATGATGGCGGCAGCTTTGTTTCGGTGACCTCAAAAATGTAGTTTTGAAAGCAAGAGCAGCAGGAAGAAAAAAAATCCTTATCAGACCATGTGATACTATCTGAAACTAGACACAGGCTAGATAATGTCCCTCCTACAATAAGGAATGTCGTGATGTTCCGTGGTTTTCAAGTGTTTTCTTGTACTATCTCTTTTCAGAGAATTTCTCTCTTTTGAGCATCAAAGTGATTTCACTTGTTAGGTTCATTTTCCCTGAGGAAACTCATCTTAGCAAATAAGCCTATGGTTTATGTTCAAGGTTTGTAAGTCAAAGGACACACAGGGGTAGTAATTCATACGCACCTACTTTGTAAGGGTGTATGCGCATAGTGGTTTGTGTTGTATCTCTGTTTTGGCATTTTACCGTGTTTCATTGGTCGCAGACCAGGTTTATATGTAACATTGATTTGAGCCAATTCTTGCCGGCTATGGTCATTGACATTTTATGCATTGTCTTGTACAACAGGACCTTTCTGTCTTTACAAATCTCAGGATTGTAAGTGGCACATTCCTGTTGTCCCCTGGAGGGGAGCAAGGCAGCATGTCAGGAGAATTCCAGTCTAGTCAGTGTTTGTGGTACTGTTTTCATGCGCAGACTTTGCTTTCGTGATTTGAACCAGATGCCTTTTTTCCCCTCCAGCAATAGGAAGCACTAGGTGGCGGTGTGAGTTAGCACTACAGATCTGTCACCTTTGGAAACCCAAGTTGAGTTCAAATCTTGATGGACCTTCCCTTGAGGGTTTTGAATTCTGCCAGCTCACATTTTACTTGGCACTGGCTATTAGTATTAGTTTCTCACTTTCAAAGGCCCTAAGACCGATTAAACTCCACAAAGCAGCTAATAGAAAACAAAGCTCTGCAGGACGTTTGGCCAGAAGATCTCACCTAAGTAAGATTATAGGAAATCTGTTACATTCTGACTTCGAATTAAAGAGTCTACTGTTAAGCACTGTTTTGTAAAAAGTTGGCTGCACACAGATTTTATAAAATCTCAGTTCATTTTTTGTTATCCTTACCTATAAAAGTTTGTATACATTAGTTGAAACTAAAAGCAAGTCTTGTTTGTATGAAGAAACTTCATATCACCATAAAATGTGGTGAGAAAATGGAATTAAACTTAGGACATATATTTGAAGTTTTTATTTTGTATCATCCAATAAAATTTTTGGTTTTGGAAGATTTAATGAACTCTCAAGGTGGTGATTTGTAGACTTAGCACAGACTTTCTGGTTGTCACCAAAATGTGTTCATTTTTCCTTTCTCTGTTCCTTCCTAATCAGAATTGTTTGAGGAGAAGAGATGCTGGTTTGTTGAATCAGTTACAAGAACTTGACAAGCAGATAAGTGACCTGAGACTAGATGTAGAAAAGACATCCGAAGAGCAGCACCTGGAGACAGACAGCCGGCCCAGCTCAGGTGAGTGAGCACGAGCACAGCCTTCTGCACTCTGGAGCTCCCCCTTGGCCCCTGGCCCCATGCTTAATGTTCCCAGACCTGCAAATGGCAATGGAGTTTGTTCCTAGTGCAGAGAGAATACAAAACCAGTCTGTCTGTCATTCAGTTGCATAAGAGGGAACTAAAACCAGATTACAATTTTTTTAATAATGAGATTGATCTGACTGGAGTCCCCTGAGTTTAAAAATAAAAGCTTCTATTCAAATTTCTGGGAGAGCGGACCTCCTTTGAAACTTGAGAAAGTCAGAACTGGGCTAGAAAATTAGTCACACTTCAACTTCCTGAGACTACTTCAAAGTTTTTTTTCTTCTTTTAAACCATTTGGCTCTTTAAATAGATTTGTTTTTTTCTTTAAGTTATTCTTTCTGAAACGCTCATGATAACGTTGAGGCTTTGACACATTTAAGTCTCCTTGAACATCTTTAAAGGTTGGGTCAAGGAGGAAGGTCATGAGAGTAACTTTGAAATGTACCCACAGTTATGAGCTCTTTGCTTTTTCTAAGGATTGCTTGAAATAAAACCATAAAATCAGGACACTTAGTCCCTAGAGCCAGAATTGCTCCCTCCCCAAAAGTCTCCCTTTTTTTCTACCTTTTCTCAATGATTATCCCTTTTCCTTTTAAGCACAAATGCATATTGTTGTATGACATGGTTTTAATTCCAAATGGCATTTTTATTTGTAGGATTTTATGAGCTCAGTGACGGGGCTTCAGGATCCCTTTCCAATTCCTCTAACTCGGTCTTCAGTGAGTGTCTATCCAGTTGTCATTCCAGCACCTGCTTTTGCAGCCCCTTGGAGGCAACCTTGACTATCTCGGATAGTTGCCCCAAATCTGCAGGTAAGCCTTTTTAGAGTTAATATACATTTAAAGATTTTTCTTATTTATTGATTTTTTTTTTTTTAGAGAGTGAGAGGATGGGGCGGAGGGAGAGAGACACATCATCACATCATTCCACTGATTCATGCATTCATTGGTTGCTTCCTTTATATGCAACCAATGACAGAGACAGAATCCACAGCCTTGGCGTATGAGGATGATGCTCTAACCACCTGAGCTACCCAGCCAGGGCCTAGAATTAATATACACTTTTGTAATTTGAAGGGGTCAAAGATCCCTTAAAGACTACATAAGCTTCAGCAGCTTCTACTGATGAAAATGAAAAACAAAGGCTCCGAGAATTTCAGCTTGCTGCATTTAGTGCTATAGTGGCATCCAGAGCCAAGATGACTACTATTCTATCCTCTTTGGGTGCCACTTGGCTTTATATCAGCTTATCTTTAGAAATCCTGTCTCAGCATTAAAGGTCTTGAGCTCTGTTTCTGAGCCTTTGCTTAACAGGCTTTGTTAGGCGTTAATTTGTTTGCATTTTCTTTTGAAAACCACTTTCAATCTGTTTTCTTTCTTTAATCATTCAAAGCTAAAGCTTACATTAAGTTAAATATATCCATCAGCCTGGTGTGGGGCTGCTTGGCACTTCAGGGAGCAGTGGCCCTTCCATGTTCTCCAGAATGCTTTGTGTGATGACAGCTCTCCTTTTGGCAGGTGGGTGGGACAAGATCCCCTTAGGCCATTCTTCCTCATATTGGGCTGACCTTGCAGTTACTTCCTGAGAGAATCATTGTTGGTACTGTAAGAGTTTCTGCACTTCTGCTATGCCTCATGCACTGTACTGGAAGGTCTACATACATTTATTTCCTTTGAATCCTCTGAGCAGTTTTGCAGGGTACAAGTGTTGTTAGCTCCTTTTTTTTTTTTTTGGTATCAGAAAAGGAGGCCTAGTGATGTTAGGTAAGTTGTTTGAGGCTAAATAGCTAGTGAATGGCAAAGGCAGGAGTCAAGCTCAGGACTAACCACCAAGTCCATGTTTTTCTATCACACAACACCAAGGGAATTCGGAAGTTGTGTTCAACCTTTTCCTCAAAAAGAGGAGAAATTTGGTTCTCAGATGCTGTTTGTCAGAGGCTTCTCATTTGCCGAATGGCAGAGTTGTTGCTAAAACTCGGTGCTCCATCCTTAGCTTTACTTCATTTGATTCCTCAGGAGAGCGAAGAAGGCCGGGCCACCAGAGGAGCTGTAGGTGCTGTCGCAAGTCTCTGTCCTCCTGGTCTGTCTGTGTTCCCCACCTGGGTCTAAGGCTGAATTTTAGAGTCTGGGCAATGAAAACATCCAACAACCAAGGCCACTAATTGGCAGGTGTCTTTGTATTTGTACAGTGTATGTTGTCAGCAGCAATCATTTAGGGAAGCACAGATCAGTTTATCTAGAGTGTCTGGGCCTCAAGTTCATTGGTAATTGCTTCCCTTCACTCTGCAGATCTGGTTTCAGAGGGAAACTTTAAAATCCATTAAAGGCACTTTGGTATAGGTTTTCCTCGAAGACAGACCCCTCTTCCAAATGCCACATCTTCACGTCTCATAATTGAGACAATTGGGCTGGGCCTTGGGGGCTGGGATGTCTGCCTCATTCGTTAACTCTAAGTAGGGAAAAGGGACAAAGGGACAAATGGTAAAGTATGAGTTAATGTGGCTTTAAGCAAGGCAGATAGGCCTTAGAATATAGTAGAGGAGGGGGGATGGGTAAGGATATTAGGAAGAGGTTTCTCTTTACAATGAGCTATTTATTGGGAGTGGAGGTAGAGGGGTGGGGATATGGCATTTTTATTTTATAATGATTATTTCCTTACAAATGAATCATATTATTTCTGGGTTTAGAATATATATTCCCTGAGACTGCTAATTGTCACTGAAATTCATGGAACTTTTCTTTAAACAATTAACATAGAATATGGCGCACAGTAGGTTTTCAATATTGAATAAATAAATAGAATGGAGGACAAATTAGTGATGAAAACTTTGATTTTCTCTAACCGAAGGTCATTAAAGGGATTTGAAATTTATATTATTCACTGAGATAAGAGATCAAAATCATTTAATTAAGCAAGAAAACTTGATTTCATTATATTTTGGCATCTACATTTTTTTTGAGATGTGGAAAATGTTCATTAATACCACTACTCAGTCTTTTCAAACTTTATCAAGAATTCATTCTTTTTAAAAAATACTGTTTTGTTAGTGTCACTATTAAAAATATAAGGTGAATATTATTTAAATTTGTTTAATTTCCCTGACCTTTCAACTGACAGTTATATTTGAACATACGTTGTTAAGAATTAGGTCTAAAAATTTCAAAATGAGGAGAAAGCCCATAGAGAGAGTAATTTATCTAAAGTATTTTAAAGGAAACCAAAATAGAACAAAGAGGAAAGTAGCCTAGAGAAAGAATGACTGAGAAAACACTTATTTTTCCAGTTATAAGTGAAGTACATATTTATTGAAAATTTAGAAAATAGAAAACAAAGAAGAAAGTGAACCACTTATTTTCTCACCACACTGAAATATTACGATTAACATCTGAAGCTTCATCTCAGACTTTTTTCTTTGCAGCTATGCAATCTTAATAAAATTATAACTAAAGTCTATTATTATCATGATTTTTACTGCACTTTAAAGTGTTCCCCATGTTATTCAGTAGTTTGAGGGCATTTTTAAAAAGATTTTATTTACTTATTTTTAGAGAGAGGGGAAGGTGGAGAGAAAGAGGGAGAGAAACATCGATGTGTGGTTGCTTCTCACACATCCCTACTGGGGACCTGGCCCACAACCCAGGCATGTGCCCTGACTGGGAAACGAACCCACGACCCTTTGGTTCCCAGGCCTCTGCTTAATCCAGTGAGCTATACCAGCCAGGACTGAAAGCATTTTTAATGGCTGAATGTTTTTCTTTTAGAGGCTTGTGATGTTTAACAACATCATATCTTGTTAGAATTTTCTTTGCTAAATGTTTTTTTCCCTCCTCCAGTATTCTGCACTGTATGTAAAATAGTAGCTTATGGAATATTTATTGATTCTCTGGCATTCTGTCTCTCTACTCATGGATTTGTCTTCCTAGAAATTGGCCAGAGTCAAGCTGGTGCTGACCAGTTCCTTTCTTTAGAGTGTACCTTTAAATGTTTTTCAGATCTCATAGGATGGTTGGATTATACAGAAGGCCACTGTGAAGACCAGGCCTCAGGGGCAATGTGCTGTTTCCCCTCCACACCACAATTTAATCCCCTTGGTGTCATTGCAGATGTGAATCCCAAGTACCAGTGTGACCTGGTGTCTAAAAACGGAAATGATGTCTACCGCTATCCCAGTCCACTTCATGCGGTGGCCGTGCAGAGCCCAATGTTTCTCCTTTGCTTGACGGGCAACCCCCTGAGGGAAGAGGAGAGGCTGGGGAACCATGCCAATGACATTTGTGTCGGATCTGAGCTGGATGCTGTCAAGACAGACACTTCTTTACCATCTCCAAGCAGTTTGTGGTCTGCTCCCCATCCTTTGTCCAGTAAGAAAATGGATGGCTACATTCTGAGCTTGGTCCAGAAAAAAACACACCCTGTAAGGACCAACAAACCCAGAACCAGTGTGAATGCTGACCCCACGAAGGGGCTTCTGAGGAATGGGAGCGTTTGTGTCAGAGTGACTGGGGGCATCTCACAGGGCAATAGCGGGAACCTTAAGAATTCTAAACAGGCGCCTTTCCCCTCTGGCGGAATCCCCTCTTTGGACAATGGGACATTCTCCCCACTGAAGCAGTGGTCCAAAGAATCAAAGGCAGAACAACTGGAAAGCAAGAGGTTGCCCCTGCTAGAGGGCTGCTCCCTGGGTGCTGTTCCTGAACTTCAAAGTAAGCATCTACCCAAAAATGCCAAGCCAGCTGCCCAAGAACAGGCTCGGTGTCCCAATGCTGTGACAGGGGAGGCCTCTAAAGAAAGCAGTCAGGTCCCAGCTGCCTCTCCAAAAGAGAGCCCTGGGAGAGTCCTCGCCCCGCTGCAAGAGAACAAAGTTGTCCAGCCACTGAAAAAGATGTCACAGAAAAACTGCCTGCAGGCAGTCCCTCCTGCTGGGCCCCCTCCTGCCCCTCTTGCACCTCCTGCACCTCCTGCACCACTGTCCTCAGCTTTCCCAGCAGAAGAGCGGCCTGCCCTGGATTTCAAAAGCGAGGGCTCTTCTTCTCAAAGCCTGGAGGAAGGGCCTCTGGTGAAGGCGCACTTCGTTCCTGGGCAGCAGCCAGGCGTCCGGCCACACCGGGGCACCCGGACTGCTGCAGGCCCGCGGGGCTCTGCCCTGAAGCACAGGGCCCAGCCTCTCCACGGCCCAGATGGTGCCTTGCCCACTGTGAGGGAGAAAACCCGGGTGGCCAGCAAAAAGTGTCGGTTCCCTGATGACTTGGATACAAATAAGAAACTGAGGAAGGTCTCGGCCAAGGGGAGGAGGAGTGGAGGCGGCCAGGCTGAGGCAGGTCTCCCCAGCCGGCCGCTGGCAGCTGCGCACCGGGCTGGGAGCAGGGCCCATGGCCACGGCCGGGAGGCAGTGGTGGCTAAGCCCAAGCACAAGCGAACAGACTCACGGCGGTGGAGGTCGGCTGCGGAGATGTCCTATGAAGAAGCCCTACAGCGCGCGCGACGCGCCCGGCGGGAGAATGCAGGCCTGTACTCGCCTGCAGTGGCTCTTCCCTACACCAGCCCCTACGCCTACGTGGCCAGCGACTCCGAGTACTCGGCGGAGTGCGAGTCCCTCTTCCACTCCACGGTGGTGGACACTAGTGAGGACGAGCAGAGCAACTACACCACCAACTGCTTTGGAGACAGCGAGTCCAGTGTGAGCGAGGGCGAGTTCGCGGGGGAGAGCACCAGCACCAGTGACTCAGAGGAAAGCGGGGGTCTAATCTGGTCCCAGTTCGTCCAGACGCTCCCGATTCAGACGGTCACAGCCCCAGACCTTCACAACAACCCTACCAAAACCTTTGTCAAAATTAAGGCTTCGCATAACCTCAAGAAGAAAATCCTTCGCTTTCGGTCTGGTTCTTTGAAGCTGATGACGACTGTTTGAGTCATACCATGGGTGTAGAAAGTGTTTTTTTTCTAGCGACTGAAGGAAAGGTGGTATCTTAGTTTTTTTGTGTAATAATTTCATGGGATGCTTTCCTTTTGTTAAAACCGAAGTAAATTATGTCTCTTCATTATATATGGACACTAGTGCCTTTAATGGAAGGTAAAGAATGTTTTGCTGGTTAGAAGTAAATATTGAGGTTTTAATAGTGGTGATAGTGACTGAATTTCTGTGGTATCAGCTGATTTGTATTTTAAATTCCCTGAGCATCTGTGAAGGCACAGGTTTTGACGTTCAAGTCTTACTGGGATGGGACCTGTTGATTGAAGGTCAAGTAGATGGAATTATAGGACATACATTTGCTTCTTGGTTCTTTCCAGCAGTGTCTCCATGAGGGCTTTTCTGTAGGGCATTGCATAATAGTGTGAGGTAGGTATGAAGGACAGTGTTTGTTTTTGTAATTTTTTAGTAAAGTCTTCAAGTCTCAGATATACCCCTATCTTCTCTTCTCGAAAGTGGTTTACTGGACTCAGAACTTGAAAATGACTCCCTAAATCCACAGGTCTGGTGATCTGGATGGGGAGGCTGATAATACCTTAAGGGATTCACTAAACTTTTGCCACATTTGGTGCCTAGGCCCTGGTTACATGAACCATTTCTAGGGCCATTTACCCAACATTTTGATGCCTTTTTTCTTCCTAATTTGCAGCAGATCTAGCCATTCCTCCCTTGGAGGACTTGCCCTTGGGATAGAATTTTGCTCCTTGGGTACAGAGAAATTTACTCCTCATGAAATAACCTTGGGCATGACTCCAACCCCACAACTGCTCACTGAGCACTGTGCCACCTGAGCATTGGCCTAAACATGGTAGTGCAATCCAGTCCAGATCGGACCACCGACCCTCTCTGAAGGGGCTTAAGAAAAATTTTTGGTAAACAGTATTGTGTAAAATTGCTTTTTTAAATACCAACATATGCATGTTTTGTGCATGAGTAGTATTTGTTTTGATATTCCTGTTGATGTTAAATTTACTGTATGATATAAACGGTATGTGTTTTATATATCATTGTGTAAATTTAATATAACATATGCTGTAATAAACGATTTGTTTTACTGCTGTTAAGTTTGTTATTTGGGTATAAAAACAGATGTTTACACCTATAAATCTTGTACTGATTTTGTGGGGTTTATATTAGGCCTATTCTCTCATTAGAATATCATTTACAGTAATTAAGGCAAGTTTTAAGACCTTTCTTCAAATCGATGGTAAGCAGGAGGAAAAGCAAACTACTTCTTTAAAATAGTAAGGTACTTCTTTAAAATTTAAGGTAAATTTGGTAGATGTTTATGGAAAATATTTCTGAAAATTTCCTCACCCTCCAAATTTTTAGTAGAAAATATTTATGACATGGAAAGTCGAAAGAATAGTACAATAAACACCTGTATAGATGCCACCTAGATTCAGCAATTGCTAACATTCTGCCATTCTTGCTTTAACTCTGCATTTATGAGCTTAAACCATATTGCTGGTTTTGTAGGTCAAAGAGATTTTGGCAATCCTCCCTCTTCCCGCCAGACAGCTCTATGATTTTAAAGTAAATTTCAGGCACCATGATATTTTATCTCTAAAAACTTGTGTATTTTCTAAGGACAAGAAGATTCTCTTGTATAACCTCAATATCATGACATACACCCAAGGAAAATGGACAATTCTTAATATCAAAATTTTAATCTCTTCAAAATTTCCAGTTTGTTTCAAGAGTTTTTAATAGCTCTTTCCCCCTTTCCCTCAATCAGGATCCAATCAATGTATGCATTGTATTTGGTTGTAGATCTCTAGTCTGTGGTCTTGTATTTTTTTTAGATAACATTGGTTTTAAAGTCAGGACAATTGTCTTATAAAGGGCCCATATTTTGGATTTGGGTGTTGCCTTATGTTGCCTTAACATCTAGTCTCTCTATTTCCCATAAACTGTAAGGCTGGAATGGATTCAGTTTAATCATTCTTGGCAAGAAGATTTTACTAGTGACCTTGTGTACTTATATTGTTCCCCATCAGAGAAAATAATAGGTTGCTCTGCTATTACTGAATTTAAGAGTGATCCTTTCACTAAATTGGTAAACAGATTTTTTTTCATTATAAAGTTTTTTTTTTCCTCTCTGCAAGTGTTTGGTATTTGTGGGTGATTATTTGGTGCTGTGTGGATGTCCTGTTCTTCACAAGTGCTTACACTGCTGATCTTTGACTGAATCAGTTACGGCCTTGGGAATGCAAAACGGTCGTTTTCTAAGTATCTTTTTATACTTTTACTAGTTGACATTTTACAACAAAGCTTTTTTTTGAATATCACTATGAACTCATGAATTTTTGTTCATTTGATATGTTACAATCACTTACAGTTATTCTTTTTTTTTAATGCTCAACATGTCTCAAATTTGGCCAGGACAAGGCTAAATTTTGTTAGAAAGAAACTATAGCATCAAGAAAACTACTTGAACAACAATTTTTAAAAAACTATAGCATCAGCTCATTCTTGTAACTCATATTTGTTTTCATATGTAGTCAAAAGGAAATTTTCAAATGCTAAAATTTCAATGCAACACAAATTACTTAACTATTTTTTCATTCTGCCTTGGAAATTTTCTCTTTTCCTGTACTTCATGTATTTCTTATCTCCAAGAAGGCTTTTAAGTATAGAACACAGCAAATTATTTCCTCATTGCTTATAAAGGTAAGACTTTTTTTTCCAACAAGATATCCAATTTTTAGTAAGACATCTTAAATTTTTTTAAATTTTAATTTTTTTAGAGCGAGGGAGGGGGATGCAGAAACATCCATTTGTTTTTCCACTTATTTATGCATCCACTGGTTACTTCTTGTATATGCCTCGATGAGAGATCCAACTCACAACTTTGGTGTATTGGGACAACACTCTAGCCAACTAACTGAGCTGCCCAACCAGGGGCAAGACATCTTTTTGGGAAGATCATCTCAGATAACTCTTCTTCAAAATGTAGATTTGTGTCTTCTAGTATTTACATGTTTTTCAGTGCAACCAGTCATCCTGCTTTGACTAGAATTTCTTTGATTGCCTGATTAAATCCAAGCCAAGTGCAAGCGAGGGATGATCTCACCATCTTTTCTGAGGTTGTGATCCATTCTCTTTGGGGTCAGGCTATAAAGTTTATTGTGTAAGGCAACAGGGACCAGCAGTCCTTGAATCACTTCCAAGTTGTTCTCAGTGAGTATTATTCTCAGAGGGGATGCTTTCTGAAAACCAGCTTCTGAATAATTACACTTTAGGTAACAGAATGCCGAAGGAAGAGAAGTGTGAAAAACAGGATTTTTTTCAAACAACCCTGGGTTTGTCCTCTGTTTATTGCTTGACTTCCCTGTAGCTAGCAGTTGTACTGCACTTGGAAATTTGGGTTCTGTACATTACTTTCAAAGATGAATAGCTGCTATTTTTGTTGCAAATAAAAGAGCTCTTTAAAATATTTCCCTTAATTTAAATAAATTACAAATGCTCATTGTAAAAAAGAGTGTATCTCAACAGTACACAGCTGTTTAAACTCTTCTCTGCATCCTCCTTAAATCCTACTCTTCAATAAGTTTGGTGTATTTATTTCTATACTCTTATGTGCATACAAATATATAACTTGCATTTTTTCATCAAAATGAAGTCTCAGTCTATATGTGTTATTTTGTAACTTCCTTTATTTCATGGACCTGTAAATGGGTATAACTCCCAATGCTTTTTTAAAATATATTTTATTGATTATGCTATTACAGTTGTTCCATTTTCCCTCATTTGCCCCCTCTCCACTGAGTACCCTTCACCTCTGGCAGTTCCTCATTCCCTCTGGCAGTTCCCCCTTACATCATGTTCATGGGTCATATATGTAAGTTCTATGGCTTCTCCCTTTCCTGTACTGTTCTTAACATCCCCTTGTCTATTCAGTACCTACCAATTTGTGCTTAATACCTGCATCTTTTCCCCATCCTCGCCCTTCCCCCTCCCAACTGGTAACCCTCCAAATGCTCCCCATATCTATTATTGTGTTTCTGTTCTGATTGCTTAGTTTGATTTTTAGATTCAATTGTTGATAGTGAATTTATTGCCCTTTTAATGTTCATAGTTTTGATCTTTTTCTTAAAACAGTCTAACATTTCATATAATAACGGCTTGGTGATGATGAATTCCTTTACTTTTACTTTGTCTGGGAAGCACTTTATCTGCCTTGCCATTCTAAATAATAACTTTGCTGCATAGAGTAATCTAGGCTGTAGGTCTTTGCTTTTCATCACTTTGATTGCTTCTTGCCAATGCCTTCTAGCCTGCAATGTTTCTTTTGAGAAATCAGCTGACAGTCTTATGGGAAGTCTTTTGTAGGTAACTCTCCTTTTGCTGTTTTTAAGATTCTCTCTTTATCTTTAACCTTTGGCATTTTAATTTTGATGTGTCTTGATGTGGTCCCCTTTGAGTCCATCTTGTTTGGGATTCTCTGTGCTTCCTGGATTTGTACATCTATTTTCCTTCACCAAATTAGGGGAGTTTTCTTTCATTATTTTTTTCAAATAAGTTTTCAATTTCTTGCTCTTCTTCTTTTTCTGGCACCCCTATGATTTGAATGTTGGTATATTTGAAGTTGTCCCAGAGGCTACTTAGCCTATCCTTGTTTTTTTAATCCGTTTTTCTTCTTGCTGTACTTGTTTTTTCTTCTTTATGTTCTAAATCATTGATTTGATTCTCGTCTTCATCCTCTCCACTGTTCGTTCCTTGTAAATTTTTCTTTATTTCACTTCATGTAACCTTCATTTCTGCCTGGGTCTTTTTAATGCTATTGAAGTATTCAGTAAGTTCCTTGAGCATCCAAATAACCAGTGTTTTGAACTCTGCATCCAATAGATTGCTTCTCCCTTTTGTTTAGTTGTTTTTCTAGAGCTTTGTTTTGTTCTTTCATTTGGGCCATATTTTTTTGTCTCCTCAATTTGGCAGCCTCCCTGAGTTTGTTTCCGTGTATTAGGCAGAGCTGCTTTGACTCCCTTTCTTTAGTAGCATGGCCTATTGTAGAAAAACCACCAGTAAGTTGGATGGGCAGAGCCTTAGGTAATTGCCAGGGTGGAGCAA